ATGTAGAGCTGAAAAAAAATATTCCTATATAATATTATTTGTTTTTTTTTCCGTTTGTCGAATAATCAATGTATATGTATAGAATTATTAGCTATTACATTTACACCTATCTTTTACCTATTTTATATCTTAATATTTACCGGGAAGGATAAAATATTTTCTTGTACCTATAGGCTATAACTTATTAGAATACATTAACACAATAATGTATTACATATACCAATAGATTTTACCAAAATATAGGTAATGTTATCATTTTATCAAAAATAGAACAACGGTTTTATGGTAAACACCTTAAACTTAAACTATTATAAATCATTATTGAAAATACCCGTCAAGGGCAACGATAATAATAACTATAGGTGTATATACCTACTTAGAACCTTTTGTGAAAATATAGTGTGTTCATTCGTATATAAGTGGGCGCAAAGTGCTGTTTGGTATAGCTGCATTTCTGCAGGAGGAGACAGCAAAGGCCCCACGTATATTCCTGCACGCTTCAGTGGGCACTCTTTACCAAGTCTTCCCATATTTAAAATTGGATTTTGTCACCGTGTCCGCCATCACCGGATGTGTAGTGCCACCTATTTATTTATATTCGAAGGGATATCGTATGGTACCTATACGTCTTTTTAATTATTGAATAACAAAATAATGTACCCATCGTATAATACATATTCGTATTGGTAGCATATTGTCATGTTATTAATTGTTGTTATATTACTATTATAATTTATACTACGTTATTGTTGTTGATATCGTGGCACGTCATCGTGGTTTTCCCCTTCACAGCGGCACTGCGTGGCGGCCGGATGAGGTAAGGTAGATAATATATAAAACGGGCGTGTTTTAATTCGATCGGACGACGGGCCAATGGGAACGGTCCAATGGAGAGAATTATCATATTATAATATAAGCGTTCGGATGATTTAGTTAAGTATAACACTATAATAGATTATACTATTTAAAAATATATACAAGCTGTTCAAAAAAAAATTGGAAACTCTTTAATTACTGTTAGCATATTTTTATACATATGTCTCTATAGGTACATTATAGCAAACACTGATGCACATTATTTTATTAGGTAAAATATATAATCACCTCGATGATAAATTGTACAACACATAATCGTTTATCAGTCCTGATAATCTTAGTCTAATGACCGTCTTCAGAATTTTTGAACACTCTGTATAAGTTATAATCTAGGGGTTCGTCGTATATTTGTTTTTCAATAATATGTAATACTAAATGTACCTAGGTATATATAAACGTATATCCGGCCAAGTAGGTGCGTAGGTACGGCTAACAATTATTGAATAATGTATCTGAGATTTACTTAGTATGAATCGTACACAAAAATATAATATTTCTGTAGCCCTTATAATAGATTATGTATATTATAAAATACTATGATAAACAATGTAGATATTTAAAGTATATATATAGTGGCATATCTTAGGTGTGTGGATAGACGAGGGTTCGATAGATGGATGTCTCCTCACTGCTTTGCTAGAGTTGGGCTTGGTTCTATAATGTACCTATTATATAATGTTATAAAATATTTTATCTATAGGTATTCTATAATAGAATAATGATAGGGCAATAATTATTGTTAAATTAGTTAAACAATTTAAACAATTTGCTCATTGATTCACGAGTTGTGAAGACTTATGAGTTGAATTATGCAATTGTAATCATACCCCCTCCCCCTATCTTTTGGTCAAACTTCAGATTCACTATACTGCCTCAGAGTATAAATATACGTATTATCAGCTAGCTATAATACTTGTAGGTAGGTACATTATACATTGCTCTGATGCATACAAATTTTGCATAACAGCACTAAACGGTCAAATATATTATACAAATATAATTGTTTTATATTGTAGGTTAAAGTAATAGAAACATAATAAAAAATTGCATAAATTAACTATCTATTTATACTGCCTTGTTAGAGGTAGATAATATTATTTTATGAACCTACCTTTTCACAATTCCGAGAAACGTGAAATTATAAAACCGTACCTGCAAATAAATTATGGAGTTACACAGAATCGTAAAATTCTGTATATTCGGAGAAATTGAACGAAAATAATGCTGATGTTTGAGAGCGTATTGAAATATTTATTTCAATTGTTGATTTTCTACGAAATCTTTCTCTTCGGTGGTGGCACCGTATAAAATTTCGACTTTTTAATTATATGTAGGTAGGTATGGGTTGCAGGTTGTTAATTATATTATTGTGTTTTTCGCGCCTATGTGTACCTATTTATTACGNGTTGTTGTTATTAATAAAAATAATAAGATAAGATAGTATTGAACCACACCATTTGGCATAGACTAGACTTATTCGTGTGACAGTGTACTGCGAGTTTACTTACTAGTTAGTTTAATAATTTTTAGTGTTGTATAAAGTAATAACTAATAAGTGTGCTTTAAAATGAAAACCAAATTTGATACAATTATAAAAAATACAACCATTAAACTAGCCATTAAACTAAATGATACCCCAATTACCAACAAAGAATCTGTTAAAATGTTAGGTGTAATATTCGATAAACGGCAAACTTGGTCTCCCTACATAAAACACTTAAAAAAAACCACAAGCAGCTCAATAAAATTAATCAAAATATTATCACACACTTCATGGGGCGGTGATTCCAAATCTCTAATAAAAATATACAACGCAATCATTCAATCAAAAATTAACTACGGGTCAATATTATATAGAACAGCAGCCAAATCAACCCTAAAACTGATTGATACAGTTAATAATATCGGATTAAGACTAGCAATAGGTGCCTTCCGGAGCAGTCCCATACTCAGCATTTATAACATAGCCGGCGTACCCCCCCCTACACTGAGAAGAATAGAGCTATCTATTAAAAACATCGCTAGACTTGCTAGTCGCAACGATGTCAAATATAGTAACATAAACAACGAAATTTCTAAGCTGATCAATGAAAATGTATTTTGTAATTTGTAATTTGATTAAAACTTTTATTCAATAATAGTTTTAAATACATTAACTAAACCATTATTGTTAGTTTATAAAATATCTAGTTGGTATGTAGAATAACTAGTTGAAGTATATATTTATGGATTCATTCAATACATTAACTGAAAGTACCCGTAATTATATAAAATAACTAGTTATTCTATAGAATTACGGAATTTCATACATTAACGCTAACATATGTTATTCTCCATAATATTATCTGTAGGATATATTTATTTTAATATTTTGGTTATTTTTGTGATGTTAAACTATTAAGGCACCTAAATATATTAGAAAGTTTTTTTTTTTAAGGCTTTTATATTTATGATAACTTTTTTTCCTAAGTAAAAACCGCTAGCATTCACTGCAAGGTTCAGTTCCTCATAACCATAAGTATTGTTCTTGCTGAAAAAAAAAATGTTGCATGTGGGCCGTTTGGATGATAATTTTCGTTTTTATTACAACTATAGCTGTGTGGCAGTATTATATATATAATACGCCTACATCATTAAAACATGTCTGATGTGTGTACAATATTATACACAATATATACATATACGAGTGCAATAATATTAATATAATATTTACGCTTGATGGCGCGCAAATAACCGACCGACCGACGGTACGCGAATGCACGCGGAGAGCTCTAATTTCATTCTATAAACGATTCCGACAATCCGACCGAACTGTATAAAATATTAAAATGTTATGTTATTGTGTATACATATACAATGCACATAAAGGTATAATATATTCGCACGATAATATGGTATAGAAAAACACACGCAGCGCACCGCAGTCCGTATAATTATAAGTCGTAAAAAGGCCGGCGAACGCAAACCCATATAAAATATATAGCCATATTATAGGCATTGCTGCGGTCTACATAATATTATAATAGTAAACGTTATAATCGTATGTATGTATAATAGATCCTGTGTATATACGCCGTGTATAATCCCTGTAAATAGTGTATAGGTATAGGTACTATGATAAACACTCATAAAAAAATTAATATAATAATATTTTACTATTTATTTAAAGCTGTTTCATTATGTACATAGATATAGACGTGTACTTGGTCTCATGCAGTTATCATTATTATCCCCATCATATTATTTATAATACCAAGAGGCAGGTAATTTTTGTCTTTGTTATCATTATTATTATTATTATTATTATTATTATTATGCCTAAACAATTATTTGATCAAACGAACAATCGGTATTTCGAAAAAGCACCTATATAATAATAATTAATATTAACTTATTTGACAGTTTATTTTTGAAACATATAAGAAAAACGCAATACGTATTATTTTCACCCTTCTATAATATTATGTTGGTCGATTAACTCCATATAGCTAATCCGTAATAGTTTAAGTGTTTGGAAGTATGCAAGTCTTTTAGAATACAAACCTTCCTTAAATACTGCAGGAATCTGAACAATTACATTATTTAATAGGATAAAACGGGGTGAGTATGCTTCGTAAATCAATGTTATGTATATATAACGTTATAATACTGTCTCTTGGTCGTAGGTATACATTTATAACCCTAACTACCAAAATTCATATGTACCCCTCACACCTACTAATACTACATATTATGTAGGTATAACCATTATAATATAACTCACTTATCAAAATCAAATGTTATAGTTGGATTAAATTAAAGATAATAATATTTTTTCGAGTGAAACACTAAAGTGAATACCTATTATATTCGTTTATATAGATATTTACTTATCAGGTATAAGACAAACCTTTAATACGAGTAAATATTTTATATTTCCGAACAATATTGCACTAGTGGCTGAAACGATTTATTTAACTGCTCTCCAACAAAACCTCGTCCATCCACGGTCACAATTTACTGGGGTCTATCGTCTGTGATGTACACAATATTATACTATTCGAGTAAAATACGAATATATACAGAATAAATTGTACAAATGCATGTGTGTTATAGTTTATAATTGTGTGTATCGCGATTTGCAGGGACTCCAATCAGCCGACTTCCCATCATGGCTAAACGTGTGTTGGATTTGTACACACTGTACAAGCTGGTCGATCAAAGAGGTGGAATCGTGGCGGTTATCACTAAAAAACTGTGGCAAGAGATAATCCGAGGCTTGGGCCTACCGCCGTCCATCACTAGCGCGGCTTTCACATTAAGAACACAGTATGTATATCAATTCTAAATATACAATTAACCTTTTTAATGCAAACGCTAATGCATATACCTGTTATCAGTTCTGCGATAATTCACTATTCAGCAAACAACAAAACAGTGCATACGATATTTAAGCGCAAATCATATTTATTAAAATAATTATGGTTTTTATTACCTAGTAGCAGATACCTATGAGAATTTATGAACTATACTCATGAAGAACTTTGTATAAATTTCTTAAGTCTAGGCAAACATAGGTACATTTTTTTTATTGACATTTATAGAAAACAAATGATGGTTTGGGTATTTACTTACCATTTGATGAATGTACTCGTCCTGGGTAATTTTGGTTTTAATTGCACCTAGAAATTATTATTTTTATTATTATAATACGAAATACTAGCTAGAGGATATGTCTAAAATTAATACTGAAATTGCTCTAAATAAATTGATAATAAAATATATAGTTCAACAATATTATATCCATCGTCTAAATATCAATACCAATAACAATATTATTATGTAATTTTTAATTATAATTAATTTTCTTAACTAATTAAAATTCTGTCAATTAGAGTATTTTTAGTTAAAAATGTAATACTTATCATCACTCTGATTGATTATCGAGCGCTAATAAAATGTCCACTCTGAATTGTTGAGAGCTGAAATTACAGCGGTGGTATACACTATAACTCTTATTATCATTAATCATTATTATTATAAAGGGTATAGGTAGTAGGTATCTACAATTTAAAATTAGATACAGTGCATCGCATTTTAAGCGTTGTTACGAGTACTTGTTTGCCCGGTACTCTTCTCTATATTTTATTACATATTATACATAACGGATTAAGTTTAGTCGAAAAAGCTGAGATGGTACCCCTGACAACCCCCCCCCCCTCCATTTCCAATGCGTCTACCGCGTTCGTCATATTATATAGCTGTACCGTTTGTAGATATGTCAAGTATCTGTACGCGTACGAGTCGAAAATGAATCAGTTCAGCACGGTTGACGAATTGAACATGGCCATAGCGGGAAACCGGCGTGAGGGCCGCCGGAACAAGTCGCTTCTGTCTGAGTACTTGCCGGCACTTCCGGCGACGACAGCCGCCGGCCAGCTTCATCACCACGGCCAACTGTCATCGGCGGCGCACGGACAGCACCATAATCACCAGCAACAACAGCACCATCACCAGCAGCAGCAGCACCATCACCAGCAGCAGCAGCAGCAGCATTACGCCAACGTGCTGGCCGCAGACGATCGGTTCCGCCACTTGGCAGCCGCCATCATAGACAACAACAGACACCGCGCCGCCGCGGAACAGGGCAGACAGCAGCCGTCGTCGTCTTCGTCGTCGCCACGGCCAGGCAGTCCGATGCAAAGACTGGCCCAACTTCAGCCACCACCGCCGACAGCTGCTGCCGAATCTTCACCAATATTCAACAGTCACCAGCTCCAACTGCCGCCTTATCAATCAGCCACGATGATGGCCGCTGCAGCACATCAGGTGGCAGCCGGCGACCATACTAGCAAACAGAGAGGTAATAAACCCTACATTTTCATTATTATTAATTTAGGGCAGATAATTAAAGATGCCCTGGAAACCTATTTAAGTAATATTGTACCCTTAAATTTCCAAAATATTCAGTTTAAAAATAATATGTTTTAAAAAAAATGATCAGTTCAAACATGTATTTTTGAAACTTTCTTCGTAGTATGAAATATGAAAACCATTATTTGTTTTAAAAACAAATTCTTTGTTTATCTCAAAGCCATTATATTATTTTCGTTATTTCACTTTGTGAAATTTCTGATATTTTAATCTGTACTTATATATATACTATAACAAATCATAATAACGGCTTTATAAAGATGTTTTATAATAATATAGAATAGTCAGTAAAAACCCAAAGTCCAACAGATTGAATCCAAATTAATATATTTTAACATGTTTTATATTCATATATAATTTATATACTTATTTAGCTAATTATTAATATATAGTTTATAGTAATTTGGATTTATAATTGTCAACCTATACTTTCCAGGTTTTTAGGAATTTGAATTTTATTTTATCCAAAATCCTTAATTTCATTAATTGTTTTTATTTTGAATGTTCAAAAATCATCGATTGGCTATATTCATTTGGTAAATCTTTGTTGATTAGTTACGTTTTATTAAAATATCTAATTACAATAGGTAATAGGTAGGTGAATGATCGTTCTTTAAAGAAGATTATTGTTAATTTAAATCAGCATGCGTTATATTTAAAAATTAAAAAATTACTTCAAACATACTTTTTGCTGTTGTAAGTAATTGTATTTTTGATACAAATCTAAAACAGGTTGAAAACATTACCGTTAGGTACCTATCTATATATATATATATCATAATATAGTACATTATTAATATAAGTTTCGGTTTAGGAATATGTCATTAAGTTTTTTTTTATTCCATTCGTTTTAAATATTTAACAAATCAATTAAAGTATCATCAGCCAATTTATTTACAAACCTGAATAAAGATGTCCTCTAAAAATGTCCATCGTAAAAATATTTAGCTGGCCATGTTCTCGGAAGGAATAATTGTTTTACACTGGTGCGCGGTCTAAATACACATTAGAAAAATACTGAATTTTTTCTCAAACACAACTGGGGGACCTGAAAATCAAGACTTTAAAAGATGTTATATTTTATCTCTATGCTTAAAAAAATATGACTATATTTAGAAAATGTTAAACACTCTCTTATATAGGTTTGGACGGATCTTGTATTATTGAAACAATACTTTTTGAAATTACAATAAGTCAATCATGGGTTATAGAACGAGCATTTGTTGTTTGTCGGATTTGTATTTATTTATTTTGCTTTTTTCTATAAACTGTGTGACATTTTTATTTTCTGTTTATATAATACAAAATAGTTTCGTGCCAAGAAAAGGATAAGCGGGAAATTGGTAAACACACTGACAACTAACTACAATCCCCTTGACAGGTGTGTCCGTCTGACGCGGCCCCAAAAATAAAAATGTTCAATTTCATTTCTAAATAATAATTTCACCTTTATGCTACTTTTAAATATGTGTATATATAACGTCTTTGTGTATCTATTCATTCTGTTTTAATGTATTTTTGAAACGTTACCAAGAATGAGCAAAAAAAACTATCACGACGTGTTCTAATTTCATTATATGAATATGCTCTCTCTCCCACTCACTCTCTCGACAACTGATTATATAGTATATATATATATGATTCTATTTTCCTCTATCTCTCTTTGCTCACTTAGAGCTTTGCTCATTCATCAAGTGCCCTTCATTAGTGAAAGAAAAGTGTAGCGAAATTCCAATGCCACTTATAAAGGTGGAAAATAAATTAATATACTATTATTAAAAGCCAACTCGCTATAATAAGTGTACACAAAAATAGATATTGTTTCAGATCGTTGTATTTATACATTAATTATACAAAATCAGTGAAAACTACGGTTATAAGTATACTATAATTTAAAAAAAATCTGGGGCCAGCTTTATATTTCTTACCTAGTAAACATGTATTTTCTATGTGACACTAAGTTTAACACGTCATGTATCGTTTTTAATAATGTATCTATAGGTTAAATAGGTAATTTAATTATACAAAGAAATCGCTCAGAGTACTATACAACTTTACAATGTAAAATGGTATTTCTTTTTATACGCTTATGGTATATTGGTATACATGAATAGGGATACTATTTTTTTGATTCGGTACTATGTTTAGGTTGTCCTGGAATCTCAACTTCAATGAGGACAATGATGTGACTATATTCATAATTATACTAATAATACAATATTGACCCGTATTCTTGAATACATAATGATATATTATAATATGTGGACATCGATTAGCAATGCTTGTCCGACCAGCACAGCTCTGCATCAGTATCCTATTCTATATACCTCATATGACTTTCTTATTTCTGCTCTATTACAATGACCGTAATAATAATGCGTATTTTATATTTTGACACGAGCGACGAGTACAATGTTTGCGAATGCAATTGTAACTGGTACCTGGTACCTAGCTGTACATATATATATATATATGTTGACTTTGAAAAAATGTTTTTAAAATCATTAATTTACTGATAAAATGACCATGTTAATAAAAGAATCACTCTGAATATACCTACGTATAAAACAATTGTTTGACCGGTCAAAATGTTGATCATCTATATATTATCTACATATTATACTTTTATACCTAATGGAATGGCTGATACGATAGTTATTTTTATTAGATTACATGTAAATTCGCTGTGATATAACGTCATTAGGTACACATAGAGTTTAATACGAGATTATTGTGCTCAGGCAAAACGACGTACCTATTTGTACTTGTGTGTGTGTGTGTGTGTGTGCAGGAAGTAGTAACTGGGTATGTCGTATAAGCTATAAGCATATTATATTATAGTATATACTTTATATGCATGCCTATACGGTATACAACGTGATATATTCGTCCAGAGTCGTCAGGCTCCGGTCTCCGGTCTCGGGTCGTGTACACTGTCGTGGTAATAATAATAATAATAACATAATATAATATACAGTCCGACGACCGTATCTGATGCGAACGGGCGCGGGGACATTCGTCAATGTTATCAATTTACTTACACATTGTGTTGTAAATACGGCTTTTATTTTATTTTAATTTTTTTTTTTACTACGGTCTGGCTGCATTTTCCTCCTGCTCCTTCGTCGTCTAACGAATATCTCGCGCACATACACACATACACCTGTGTGATATATTATGTATATATATATACACGCTTATATATTGTATTATATGTACGTACTCACGCATAATATCCAGCTAGGTACCTGCCTATATTATGTATATGCGTGTAACACTTTTGATACGCGCGCGACGTGATGTGTATACAACTCTCCCGTTTTTGAATAAATCAATTTACACCGTGACATCGTGTGTTCGTTTGAATCCATAACACAATAATAATATAATACGTGCGCCTTTTGATATTTAAATATTCAACATGGATACATATAATATTATACATTGTTGGTTTTTCTTTCTTTTACACCCGCCGCCACCGTTGCCGTCGTCGACGTCGACGTTGTCGTTGTCGTCATATCATATACTATCATATACGAGTACATATATATATATATAATATAAAACGCGAACGCGAGCGCGAGCTCGTTCTTATTATAATACCTGTGTATATAAAAATGAACGAATATGTATAATAATTATTATTTTGAGAGAAAAAACTCGTGTTCGTACACGAGAAAAAAAAGTAACAAATTACCGACACTTGTTCACGACTCGCGGGCTGTTTTACATCCATAACAATAATAATAGTAATATAATAAATGCACACAGTACACTGTACCGTGTATCGTCTGCTCCAGACGTCGCCGGATGACTGACCGACTGGAAAATAAAGAAAAAGAAAAATGTTTAATCCGTCGAATTCGTCTCATGTACCATATATGTATAGTACATGCCGTGATAATACACACAACGTCGTAGTCTAATATACACGACGAGATGACATATTATTTTCTTGACGTGAATATCATGTTATAATTTTTGGTTGATTTTACACGAGCAAAGTACATTAAGAATTATTAATTATTATCATCGCATTGTGCACCGGTCACCGGCACCACCATGTACACCTATCTAATTATACTGCAGTAATATAATATAAGAAATAGGGTCACCGCCGCCACATGTAAATTTTTTTACAAAGACGGCTTTTATCATGGATATTTATAAATACTATGTAAAAAGTATTTTTATATAAGTCTATGGCTTTTATATCTTGGGTAAATTAGGTGTGAGGAGTCTTTTTGAAGACGTGTCCACCACAATAATACGTATCCCATACGAGAGCTCATACCAGTCGGTGACTTGGATTAATCGACGTACTATTAAAAATAATATCATCACCTTTTACAACATGTTACCGCGATACCACAACATAATATAAACTGTGAATTCAACTATGACAACTGCAATTGTTCCGATACAATAGAATATCGAACAAACATAAATGCGCAAGTCATATTATGCAATTTCCTTTTTTCCACTAATTATTTTCGCAATGTTAGTGAATGTAACATAAATATAACAATAAATAATGGAAGGCTTTTAAAAAATGATAAATAGGTATACTTTAAACCAATTTTATTTAAATAATATTTAATCATAAATCATATTATTTTTTCAGAAATTCTCAGTATGTTAATGTGGATGGATTTAATGCGAGCTAATCAAACAGCTATTCCAAGACTTTCAATACAAAGTAAGTTAAAATATTTATATAATACCCCTTCATGTTTTTCTTATTTTCCTTAAACAGTTCTAGCGTAAAAGCTGCTACTTGTATAATTTCTATAAGATGCTGTTACATAAGTTATTAATATTTATAGCTGTATTATATATTTTACAAAGAGCTTAGACCGTATACATTTTTAGAAAGTTTAAAAGAGTTTACGTTCACATCCCCAATATTTAAACAAAGCTATACTGTTTGGCAGGTGTAAGTAAATTAATTGTATGCCATTAATCATTTAATAAGTGAATGTATTCTCATCTCGTATTTTGGTTTTCTTTTATACAACTATTATTGCCATCGAATTATATTATAAATAAATAATTAAGTATATTGTTTACACCGTGGCGACAATTAAAACTCACCCTGCACTCATTGCAAATAATATCATCTATTAAGTAATACCATTGTATAGACTGCATAGACGTAGGTACAATAGTTAATCGTAAAGTATGTTGTATTAACATGTTTGGCATTTTTCTTTCTGTCCATCTTGCAGACTTGCAGCAGTCGCCGTACGCTTCCGCACCCGCCGCGATGAATCTACAACGCCAGTCTCCGGTAGCATTGCACCCAAACAACGGACCACCGGCTGTACCGGAACAGTGTGAGGCGTTGAATTTAGGTAAGAAGGATCAAGGAACCAACAACAACAACGCTGGCGAAAACGAGGACGAACCGGATCAAAAACGAGTCAAGACGGAACGGTCGCCTCGGGGTGCCGTGGTTAGCCGTCCTGTCAGCCCCAAGATGAGCCCTGAACGATTTCCGGCGCCAACCGGAAGTAGCCCGGTACGGGAGTCCGCTGCTACATCCCCTGAACGGAATGGCGACGACTTATGCCGTGACAGCAACGGCACCATCGAAATGGACATCAACGTATCTGCCGGTAAGTGTAATTTTCCTATAAAATAAGAATTCATATACGATAAGCATTTTTTTTTTTAAATTTCCCAAGAAAAAACAAAATATTACACTCATTTGGGGCATGCGTAGGGCATGTGCCGGCCCTGATCATATACCCTATCACCGATATAATAGTATAAAACATATGTAGTATTGGTGTTTTCCTGTTCGAAGCTATAGTATAATTAATTTTTTTGACCCTCGCGAATTGGATTCTGGTACATGTACATGCAGGGTTATATGAAGCCAGGAGAGGGTTTATTTTATAAATAGGGGCTAATATTATTGGTGGAAGGTAAACATAATGACACGAGAGTATATTTGCAAATATTATAATAATAGGAGTAAAAAAAGCTCCGTTTTGTTTTTAGCTTTTTTTGCATTTGTACAAGCTGAATACATACCTACGCATCGTATAATTCAATGACGAATATTACAATAATAATTTATTAGTGATTACATAATAAGCATATATTATTTATAAATATTGTGTATAATAAGTGATTCCGATTTATGTTCTGGTGTGTAATACATGACAAAAATGAAATTTAAAGACTTACCTGATTTTGTTTCAGTGCGTATTATAATGCGAGACAATTTTAATTTCTTAAATTTCATTCTCGTGTTTAGACATATAATCATTATCTTCTCTAAATAATTAATATTTAAATGTCAAATAATAATTCTATGTCGATGATTTCGGTTAATGTGTAAGCATAAATCCTAATGATAATTAAACTTTGAATAGAGCTTTGTATAGGACATAATGTTTCCTTTGCAATTCAACGACCTAAAAACGAATATATGTAATTTACATTCACTTTTAAATATGATATTTACTACTTTTTTAGTTGAATCAAGTTGAGAATGATTAAAAAAACTAGTTTAATGGGAAAATAAATAAGAATAAAGAAATAAGATTTTCATTTTTAGCTTTTCTTATATTTTAAGTAAATAATATTATATTGTATGGTTTACTTTACAAATTTATGTCTTGGGTTGAGTGTGTACAATTTTTATCTTACATTCATTTAACATTCATGTAATATGTACATCCATAATCACAATAGTTAAAATTAATTTTATGCATACTACCTAAACATTTAATATATTGTGTAGCATATAATTTGTAAAATTAATAACATGCAATAATATCTTATAAACTTAAAACTTATTATGTATATAATTATGCAATAATATATTTTTAATAGTTATACTATTAATTACGTTTTATTAAGAATCTTGTTTTTGATGTTTAGGTATGCCTAGCGGTCTCAAAATAAACGTTTGTAAAAGAACAAAAAATGGGATTTACAAAGGTCAACTCGTCAAGGTTGAATCAGAAGTAAATGGAGGTAAATTTGAATTTGTTTGAATATCTTTAATATGATAGAACTCGCATATAAGTTTTTAAATTAATGTTTTTCTTCAGATATATACATAATTTCATTATTATTAAACAAATATCGAAGTATGGACGCGATCTTTTTATTTGATTTTTAAACATCCCATACCTATATGAGATTTTAAAATGAAGATTTATTTGTGTTATAAATAAAATCTGACCGTTACAATTATTTTAGGAACGAAAAACTCTAAACCCTTTATTTTGCGTCTCAATGGCGAACTCTACACAGGATGCCTCCAACAACAAAGCAGTGTTGTTAATCATGACGAACATCATTCTAATTAAAATATTAGACGTAGATAAGCACAACAAAAAGATTTTTCCTGTAAATATAGTATTAAATAATAGTTTAGAATACATTTAAGCAACACAAAAAAATTATGTATATATTATACCTTTTCATCTTATATACATTATAACAATTAAATATTAATATACATAGTTGAATTCGATAATAGTTTGAGTTATTTTTAATTTAAGATTATATATTGATTATGCTACATTATATGTCTGTGGTCTGTCTGTTTTAAAACTACTTTTTTATGGAAAATAAGTGATTTGCTAATATGATTATACTGTAGAATAGTTATACAATAAATATTTATCATTATAGTTACTACGCAAATACATAATAATATATTATATTACCCCATTTTACTGCGAGTAGGAGACTTAATTTTTTTTACGTTATTTTTTAAAATATATTTGTATAATTATTATTATTTTTATTGTTGTAAATAAAGTGTGTAAACTGTGAGTACTTCAAATTAATTTTAAGGCTGTGCATTCTTTAGATCTCATCCTAATGGGAAAACCAATAACATAACACGTCTTGTAAAAGTTGTAAAATACACGTACATTTTTGGATTTGAATATTAATCAGTATTAGCATCGATGTTTAATGATTGAATAAATTACAGTTTTTTTTGTATTATGATTATATAGAAATGTGGTTGTCGTATTATTTATTTACCTAATCAAAATAATAATTCCTTTTTGTCGTATAGAAACATAATATATTGTTCCTGTATAGTTTCAAAATACAAAAAATATTAGGGTATTTGTTTAGTGTTCTAAATCAATAATGAATACAAAATACTTCAATTACGTGTTTTGTATTAATTAGTGTGTGTTTTACGATGTAGAATAATATTCGAACGTTAGGTACTGCGAATCAACGACGAAAAACCGTGCGAACAATATTATAAGTAAGTCCATTATTTATAAGTGTTTAATTATTATTAACAAACCCGTTTGGTAATGAGTAATGACAAATCAAATAACTACCTAGGTAATTTAATCAGATAATATATGGGAAATTAAAACATTATTTATTATTCTACTATAATACTATATACCTATAGGTTCTGATCAAAGTAGTAATAAAGTTATTACAATTACGCGGAATCAAAATTGTATTTTCCTGGTTTCAATAACTATATTATAATCGTTATGTAGGTACCTTACAATGCAATAAATATAGGTTTTTATTAAATCGAATAATAATGTGATTAAAATCAAATTCTCTATTAGAAAGTTTATTTATTTAAATTCATATATTCCTCAGTCATATAATTAATAATTATTGAACATTTTAAAAGTGATTTCAACAGTAGTTACTCTTAATTAATTTAATATTAAGTTATAATAATATTTAAAAACAAATATTTGTTACATAAATATTGGAATATTATTTTATTACAAATAATCAAGATAGTTAATAATATGAAGGCTATTTATGTTTGCATAATATATCTTGAATTTCAATTTCACATTCGGAGCATCCTATACAGTCTACCGATAGGTATTCGAGAGTACTATACAGCCACTATACGATCGGGAAACATCGGTTGAAAACCATTCGACTGTATTACAGTAGATTGAAATAGTTAAGACTATTTTTTATATAATATTACTCATATGAAATTTTGGGACCTGCAGAGACGATTGTTAGTGCTAAAATATTTTTCTTACTTTGGAGAGGACATGTTCCATCTCTAATATTCAACTAGCAAGCAAAAATTGTATTTCTCATACATCTCATGTTATACATAATTACCCATCCAAACACTTTTATTATAATATTACTGTATAGATATATCTAAAATAATTATATTAACAATATCAAGTAAAATTGTAAATTTGTAAGTATACAAACAAGTAGGCAAGTGAAAACCGTCGTCCGTCACATGAAATGTTAAATTAAATAGTTATTAAATGACGGGAGTATAATAATAATAATAACATGACGTAGTGGCAAATGGTATAGAAGGGAGTGACAGTGACATTACTGCAATAGTACTATCTTAGGGTTCAGTTGTTAATATTATATTTTAATCATTATTTCAACTATACTTTCCAACCATTTATCAATCATAAAATTATCAATGCAATTATTTTTTGCCACTTATGTATATATGGTCTATAAAACCATTGAAAAAACGCAAATAACTAATAATATGTAAGTATGCCCTGACTTAATTGTAATACCCTGCAAACTTTATCCTTCCAGATTATACGCAATAAACCTCCAAATTTGATGTGACAAGAACAGCAACAAAATACCTATATTTGGGTAAATTACGGTCAAGCGTGTGTACTGCGGGCAATCCTTCACGATACTATCACTCCAAATTTTTTTTTTAATACGATAATTTTCGCGTCTATACTTACATTACATATATATTAATATGTCACTAACTTGCGACGAAGTTAACAAAGCGAGACGAGTCGACGTGTCGGTTTTAGTATATATACTGTATAGTGTATACTACCTTTATGTGCATACAAAACCGTTGTCCTCTGCTTTTTATAAATATTACTTTCGAGCTACTCGTGTGCCGTCTTTGTTGCATATTATTATACTTCGTCGCTTGCCATTATATATAATTTATCACACCGTCAAATGGACCGCTCAATTTCATGAAATTCATTTTATTTTAATCTAAAAATATTGTCTCTTTATTTTTATAAACAAATGAAAACTATACATTTTTTTGGTATTTATTCAAAATATCACAAAGAGAAAAATTATATTGTCCAGTGTATTTTTAAAACTTTAATGTTTAAGATAGGTACTCGTATAAATGTATATTATGTTTATAGGTACCGATGCAGTATCATAAGTCAAATATGTAAAAATATCCTTCCGACAAATTTTGTATCATTAGAGTTGACTTACATAAAATCTTTCACACTTGTTAAATGAGAATGTCCTCGTATTTAGTTACAGAAACTTTAAATCAATGTACACAGATACGCAACTGCGTATAATACCTTCGTATTTTGGTTTATTTATTGTTTGTACTATCGTCAAACATTACTTCTAGTTGTTATACATTGTACTTGTATGGATAAAATTTTAATCAATTAATAAGAAATAAAAATATTCAACTGAAGTAGCATGCATAAACATAATATACAATACGTCTATAAATAGACATGTAGTATATGATATAAAAAATATACGTTTTAAAAACTGTAAATGAGTGTCTATTGGTATTTGATATTTACGTAAGTATTTCACACTTAATGATAACAACATAACATATTTATTTCCTTACAAGTTACAAGAATAACATAGCATTATATTTATTTAACTACAACTTACAAGTAACTATAACTGGAGGACAACCTATATACTTAATTTTGGTTTAGGTATAATTATAATCAGTATAATAGACCTATGCGTATATACATATAAACTGATTATAGTATATACATTTTAAACTCAATTGTAAAAATAAACATGCATTCTCCGAAAATTCTCAATTTAATGTGTTATAATTTTAGCAGTGAACACTTAATATTGTACATGTATACTAAGTAAACAAAAATATTTGTACCTAGATACTCATAGGCAATAGCATATACCAGGTACGTATGGATGTATAAAATCGACTAACATTGTTTGTTTAGTTTAACTAATACCTACTATACACAATAGTATATTACATGGGTGATCTTAAAATGCATTCGTAAGACGTATTTCCGTAATATTAATATAAAAATATGTACAATTAATATTTTTACTCTTATAATCACTGTGGGTACTGCACTGCGCACGAATCGGGTATTATGTCCGGAAAAAATATAAACTAAATACTGCAGTAAATCATGTTCTTGTGCGTTCGATGCGCCGCCTCACTACACCTATATATAATATATATATATATGATATAATATAATAGAGTATGTAGACTATAAGCCATAAGGACATTTTCGGTAATTGCGTGTGCTAACATCGGCATAATAGAGTATGTATAGACGTTCTCCCGATCAGCATGTAAACATTGTGGAGGACCTATACATCAGGTATTTTATACATGCCATATATAGTGTACATAGGTTAAATTTGGTATTTTATATACTTTGATGTCGGTTATCAATAACTCATTACTTAAATAACTATACCTATCTGTAAATTGTACTTGTAATGTAAACATCCAACCGATTCAAAATAAACTGGAGCAGCGATATGACAGATCCCTGATACATATTATCGAATTCAAATAATATTTTCAACAATAACTTCTGCAGTGGCAGTGAAAAGTGACGAATTTTAATATTTTTAAAATTTACAAAATTAAATGTACACAAACTGCAAATAATGATAGTGCCTATAATAATATAATTTTATGTGGGTATATTGTAAAATGATGCATCTACAAAGACGAATTTAATCTCATGACTATACTTTACTAGAAAACATTTGTTTAAAACAAAAAATTATATGAATGAATGGTATTCATTGTCAGATTTATAATGAAACACCTTTAATATCTGATATAGTATGTCCACCCCCCCCCCGGCTATACTGGCAAGCTTCAATTCACAAAACTGCGCATCACTCGCAGACATATCTTCAAGTCTAGTTAACCAATGATGCGACGAATTTATTCCTTAAGTTCTCGAATAATTCGTGGTTTCTTTCATAAACATGAGCTTTGAAAGAAATCCAGCTTAGTTAGATCAATAGACCTGGGATAATATATGTAATAACGAGATTATGCACAAACACGTGTTACAATACTACCAACATAAAAACCTATTAAACATATACAAAAGACTCCCAATATAACCCTATACCACCTCACACCCAACGGCCTATCATTATGTTGCCTCGAGTTTCCACTACTAAAAAAAAATATATCGCCACTGAAAATAAAAGATTATTGGAATGCTCAACTTGTCTAATTACCATAGAAAATTGTGCTGTACCAGGTATATACTATAATATTAATGTGCCCATCTACAGAATAGTCATATAAACTACATATTATATGCTAAATATTATACTATATTTTCGACATTATAATAAATATATTGATAGGAGCGAATAATAATGCAATTATTATTGTAGGTATATTATATTCGAGGTTGAGGAGCATATGTGTCGTGGTGGCTACGGGATGGAAAACTACGAGGAAGTCCGCAGATGTATTAAATAGTGCTTAATACAACACCAGTGTAGGTACAAGGTAGTAGGTACTACCTCATATAAGACTTATTAGCTATTGTTACACTTATCAGTTATCAGTTATCACACATAGGTGTATAATATTGGTACATATAAGGTATTAATATAACATTTCTCAAGCTTATTATTTACCATATATAAATTACCTAGTACATATTATAGGTACATTATACACATACTGCAGCTGACACTACTATACAAGTAGCTATGCTATATAATATTATAATAATACTTTAATATTATTATAAGTAATTACTAATTAGCTTGGGATATGAAGTACCTACTTGATAAGTAATTTCAAATGTGAGTTTTTTATTGGAAAAGCCTGAATAGAGGAATTACTTTTTACCAAGTTCCCTACAAAATATTGAGAACCGATGCATAAGTGAAAGATTTTTTTTCTGTATAAAAATAAGACATTTCTTTTTTTTGCATAGGTAGTGAGGTAGCTTCATGTTTTTGAAATACCAATCCAATACTCATAACGGAAAAATTTATTATTTTTATACTCGAAGACCTTTTTTAAAATGCTTGAATTCGTTTGTACTACTTAAGGAGTGTCCTATGGCGAAACAAACGTCTGAAAATCCTCCTTTTTACCATACATTTTTTAGTGGATAATTTTTTGGAAATTTTTGATGTAAAAAATTTTTTGATGTACTATTAAATATTGTTTCAAAATTCAAATGAGTAGTTTCTTAGTTATAAAATTGTTTGTACTAAAAATATAACAGTTCTTAAAAATGGTTTTACAAAAATATAAAATAGATAGGTAGGTCGTAGGTACATACATCTAGGATATTTCATACAATGTGGTATAGTTATACGAAAATAATAATCATTAATAATATTGTGCTGCAAATCTGTGTTAAATGTATTATTATAGTTATCACAAATTATTCGGATTTTGAAATATTCTCAATGGCCATATTTTAAATTATTATTCATATTTATAGTATTTAGGTAAGTATAAAAGGTTGGTACTCATTTGAAAGAAAGAAGTTGATATCGCCACAGAGCACTCCTTCGATGATATAACAAATAGGTATAAGTATATTAATTGCCAATTTTGAAAAATATCGTCTTGTAGGTATACACATAGCATACCTATACTCGCATGTTCTTAGCCAATTATAAGATGCGTCATTATAATGGAAAATATTTTGCGTGCCTTATAAGTTATAACCCAATATATCTAAATTTTTTGTTACTAAGCCCCCTCCCCAATCACCCACCTAGTTGCGTCTATATGAGTTTACTATACACGCATTATATAGGTACTATATTGTCAATAGGCTTCGATCAAATCATCTAAGTACATATAATATGCATAAATTCATAATGTATACTTATTACTTGAATGTAAGTACCTATACTATATGGTTTAATAGTACCTATTGGTGCCTATAATATTATCTATTAAACTATTAATTTAAAACTACAATAGATTCAGAGAATAGATCTTCACTCTTCATGATATTATGATATTAGAGATCGATTAATACCATATTGTTATTATTGTCTTTATTACGAATTCGTATTTGAGAATTGCGTACATCTACTTCCTATATTATATATGATGGCGTGTGCGTGTGTCAAGTATTAAATTATAATATAATGTTATACATACCCATTTAGGTACATATAATATAATATTTAATATAATATGTAATATGTATAGGTATATATAATACCAACCTACGAAACAATTGTAAGAATAATAAAATAAATAAATAATTATAATAGTAATAAAACAGGAAGAAAGAACGTGAAAAAAACAGATCGAGCGCGCGCGCGCTTTGTGGGAGAAGGAAACTTCGCACGCGGGGGGGCGTGGCCCTCGGCCAATGAGGAACAGCGGCCCGGCGGGCCCCCCACCCGGCACCTCGGGCGCGCGCGGCCGGCGAACACGCACATTCGCGAACAAACACGTCGCGCGCGCGCACACACGCACACAAACACCGTCCGCGGATTCGCACCGCGATAGTTGTACCGACCGACCGCCGAGAATTCCGTCGCTGACTGTCGTCGCACACGACTTGGTCGATCTTGGTATTTAAATCATAAAGTTAGTGCATCATTTGCATATTGTTGACGAATGCACCGTTGTGGCTGCGACGCGCGATTTATTGAATTCTTTTCGTTTTGAAAATTGTTTCGTATTTTGTTTTGTGTGTGTGTGTGCTTTTTTATTGTTCAATATCAGATATATTATGATCATGTACTGCCGCCGACGGGTGTCGTCCTTATCGTGGTCGTCGTGGTCGTCAACGCCACAGCCTTGTTCCGATCGCTCCGCAGTTGCCGCTTCCGGTCATTGATAATAGCATATAATACATATTAAATTATAATACAATAAATACCTGTAACACGAGAAACCTATGTGTGATGAGCGTAAAACACATACGCACATGTATAGACCACCACATTTAGTACTCCACTGAAGCCGGAATATCATCACACATAACATAATATTATATCGCCGCCCTTAGTGGACCGGATGTGAATACTCATTCAAAATTGGCCGCGTCAAGCAGAACCCCGTCCGTGTAGCAGCCACTGGCGAGACCAACTCGTTGGACTCGCACAAGGATATGGTAAGCACTGAGCATTATTACATACTCTCATACTTACTATGCATGTATCTTCTTATATAGATGTACCTATATATATGTATTATTATGTCTTGTATGTTTGTCTTTATATTTTTACTTCAATATACCTATTAACATATGTGTATATCCGACCTAATAAATAGTACCTAATGATGTACCTAATATCTATTAAACAGAAGCAATATACATATTGCTCGCAGGTATATGGATATCTAGCTGCTATGTAATTGCCATAATGCAAGCATTCTTCTTTACTTTTTTAAATTATAATTTTATGAATGTCATGATTTTTTTTTAGCTGGTTATTTTATAACTTTCATAATATATTAGGGTGATGGACAATTAAAAGTTTTTGAAATTTACTTTATATCCTTCTGCTGCATTACTTGTGCAGTAGGTATCTAAAAAGAAAGCTAGAATTTGAAGTTTCCCCATGTTTTGATAACGATGAAAAGCGTTTATCGTGTGTATCTTTCATCAGGTATAATTTATTTAATAAGGAAATTCTAGGTTTTTGTATTAGTCCAACTATTTCTGAAATTATTTGTTGTGGAGATTCAATAGGATGTTCTTCTTAAATTTGTCTTTATTTTTTTAACTTAGATACCAAGATAGTTATTATTTGTTTGGCTAATTTGTGTTTACCAGTACTATGCTATAATACAATGACCCCGTCCACGTTACCGTTGGTAGCAAGGCAAGAATTACATAATATGTATTATAATGTTCTTATTGCACATCTTCAAAAGATTTTATTTCTATTTCACTTTTCAGAATGTTTTGAGTAAATAAAATCATTTGAATTAGAAGAGGTAATAAAGTGTTTTTATTTAAATATATTATTTTTAGATCTATCTTGAAATAGTAAAAATTAATAATTAATAATTCAATTTATCACTATTAACCTAATGACTTAACCTAACCTAAGGATATTCAGTTTACATTATTCCAGACAATTTTTGATGATTATATATAGTTAACGATCGTCTCGCCCATGTAAATATGTATAATATATTGGTAATGAAAAGGACGATTTCATATTATTGCAGAGCAGTATCAATAATCATTTAAACATTTTCTATATTGCCTGGGAAATTAATAAATTATATTAGAATGTCCGATTTATTAAGGGCAGAACTTAAAAAATTATTTTCATATAGAAATAGACATTTGTTCAATATCGTGTTGTTGAATTGTGCAAATATCAAAAAACTATGACATTTCCCCAGAAAATTCGAAAAGTATATATTTATATACATAAATGTAGGTAACCATTCAAACATTTATGAATATTCTTTTCATCCCTTTTATAATTTCAATTGAAACTCATAACGACTAATGCAACTTTTAAATAGCTAGCAATTCAAAGACTTAATACCTTATAAGCAATTAAAGCAACTACCTAAAGCCATTTCACTATTATTTGAAGAAAAAGGCAAATAAGGTATAATCAATAAACCTGATAAACCAAATTGTACATAACTTAAAAAAAAAAAAATTTTATTTATATTACCTATACCTACATGAAATCATAACCTATAAGTGAATTATGACTGGGCCTTGGGGTATAAATGGCGGGCCAATTGTTAACATTTTTTAAGTTAGCGGTGCCGTTGCACACCTTGCCCTCCCCCCAGGTGACGCCCCTGACTTCTATTGCTTATTCTTGGTTCAGTACATCAGCTATAGGTATCAAATTTATAAGCATTAGAAGTGCATTCGAAAATATTTCTCATACATCTTTATTTTGCAAGATCTTGAAATTTCAAAATTTTCAGAACATACATTATTAGTCTGTATTATTCTGTTTTATAGCTGAATTTTAGGTATATACTATACATATATATATAATACTATGCAGCTATATTAAAATTTATATGATATATTTGGATATTAAATATATAATTTTTCAATATTTTAAGGTAGCTACTTTTTTATTTTCTTCATCATGCTTCATCAAAATAATATGTTTCTAAGCGACATTTTTTACACACTACTCTCTTTATATAAGATTATGACATTACGAAGTTTAGAAGTTCGAATAGTCTGCATATTGTGAAGTTATTGAACATAATTAAATTTAAATTCGTTTTCGACATCATATTTAGGTATACGGTATATTAAATATATATGTAAATAAAAAAAATCAATATCTTACATTTTACATCTAATTATCTGCAAACGTTATGTGTTTTTTATGTTATGTAGTTACATATTACTATACCATATTAGTAAAGTATTGTTAATCTTGCTAAATCAAACATTTAAAAATATAACATAATACTCCGTTGTGGAGGTTTCGATTCGTTTTACTAATTATTAGAAAATTCCAATGAGGTCTAGACTAGTGTCTTGAGTCCATACACTAATTTTAGTTTAATTTCCGACCATCATAAGTAGGTACCTATATACCTATTAATAATTATCTACCCACCCATACATACTCTTATTTCATATGCATAATATGTATATATATGTGTATATATTTTTTTAATGTTTACTTATGTGAATCTAATTTTTATATAATATCTTTAAATTAAAATTCACCGCAGTAGATATCAATGCTTAAAAGTTGCAAAATGATTCTAAGTTTAATTTGTATGTGTATATATATCATTATAAAGAATATATAGTTATGCCTTAACTCTTAAGTTTTCGGCTTACCCACCTATATTCATAAATAATTAATAATTACATTTTGAGCTAATTGGATTTGTGTGTAACCATTACTTAACCTTTGTAGAGTTAAGTAATATACCCGTTTCTAAATAAATCCAATTAGTAAGTATATAGACGTATATGGTATATTATATAGGTATCCATGTACAGTATATATACATATATGTGCGATGTGGCCATATTGGTAGTAGGTACTACATATAATTGTACATGTGTAGGTGCTCGTTTATTGAAATTTAAAACATTTAACACGCAATAAATATTTTCTTACCGATTTTCTCGTAGACATCAGATATTAATTTAATTTATAAAAATTTCAAAGATTATGATAGGACATTACATCAGGTATTGTTTACATAACTTTGTACAGACAATTCCTTTCAATAACAAAATATTTTCGGTTTCATCTGGCGTAGTGTAGATAATAGCTATATTTGGCCGGACTTTATAGATAAATTAACTTCACTACAACATATTATAACAACATAAAAATAATTGAATTTTTGTCAATAATGCGTGCTTGTTATATAAAATATCTAATCATAATCTTGTGAATGATATCAGTATGATCTACACGTGAAAATTGACTAAATTTTAAATTCTGCTAAGACCACAGTTCGTTTTTCAAAGTGCACGATTGATTTAACTAAAAATAAATATAATTTTACATTTTCAATATTTTTAATTTCCACTGTTATTAATATTTTTTACTAATACTAATGATAAACTATAATAATGACTTATTAATTTTAGGTATAATGTGTTTTCATCAAAACATTATTATACATATATAAGTGATATACATAACTATAGGTTATATAGGTGTATTCACTCATCATTATATGCATAATAATATCTAATGCTTACTCTAATGTCTTTACGTTTACGACAGTGACAACATTAAGTACCTACATTTTTTCATCGTTTTTTTTTAGTTCGACAATTTATACTGTTGTAAACGCCCTGTAATATAATTATTATCGTACTCGTTGTGAGTTCGTATATTACATTGTTAACTCTTGTATTATTAATTTAATCAAAAATTTAAATAAAAGAAAAAAATTTTTATAAAAAATTCTAAATATATGTCTACTGCTTACATTAATTTTAATATGATTTCGACGCTTAACTTCGGCGACTACAATAAATATATTATATTTATAATATAATATTTATATAATAAGTCTTCACCCTTAAATATATACCTACTATGTATGTATGACAATATTATGTATACATGTAATGCGTTTATCGTGCAACCTTGCCGATCATTCACTATTAATTGCGTCGTAATGGCGATTAAATGACGATCATTGTGTTTATACACAGAATATTATCTCTAATAATTATTAACCCCTGCAGCCATTATGAATTGGACGTTTATAAATGTGTTGTAATTTAATATTATATTATATTTAAATAAGACGCTTAAATTTAAATTTCCGAAGTCGCTTAATCCTAAACGTACAAACTAAAAACGATATGATGCCCAAATTTCAGATGCACAATGAAATGATATTATATAAAAAGTCACCAGATTAGGCGCAAAGAAATAATTGGAACGTGCCAGAAATACGTCACTCTCTTATGCCTTTGATAAGTTTGCCAATACGCATAGTGATGTACACACGCGAACTCACACACACACACACACACACACACACACATATAGAAAGGTGGTACGTGTTATCCGGCATAGCGTTTGTATATAGTACTATTAGGCGATTTTGTTTTTGAAAAAATATTTATAATTAGGTACCTATTGCAATATTATTTCTCTGTAGTCTGCACATTTTGTAAAATAATGACACCCGAATTATAGTTAAGATGAAATGTTGTGCTGAGAGTGTATGATATTATGGTAAAAAGTTTCTACAATAATATAACATTATAATTGAACTATAATATACACGTTATAAAATGTGGGTGGGCCACTCACTCATTTATTTCGAAGGAGCTTCAAACACAATATTTGGTGTAACGCTTTACAATATTATTGTGATCTTGTAAATATGAGGATGCTAGATTTAAAAACTGTTTCCTCCACCATCGCCCCTTATTTTATATGGATGTCAGCTAACACCCTTGTCCCTACCCCTTAACCAATTTTGATGTGTGCTTGACGTACCACGATCAACATAATACACCAAATCTCGTAAACCAGTAAACTATAAAAAATTATTAAATCAAAAGAATATTATAACGGATAACAAAAAAAAAAATCAGTGTATGCATAACAACATATCAAAATACCACTCATTTAAATTCCATCCATGTTGAAACACTTAATACGTTATTATAAT